GGATGTCCACCAGCTGAGGGCCGGACACTGGTCTGGTGCCCGGTCCTACCTGCACAGAATCGGTCGCTCCCCGTCTCCGATCCCAGGCGGATGCCAGGGGTGCAACAGAGATGACTGCAGAGAGTCCTGGTGCCCCCTGTGCCGGGAGGAGCCGGACAGGCCGGACCATGTCCTCCTCCGCTGCCCCGCCCTGATGGGGACGAGATCAAGGACGTGCTACACCATCCACCCGGAACCGGAGGAGGTCCGGGAGACCGCCGTGGTGGCGGCCCTGGCGGCGGCCGCCAGAGGCGCCCAGAGCCGACAGGCTACACTTCATTAGAAGCGGAGGGAAGAACAACAACAACAGCCCAGCTGACTGGCCGGCGGCGGGTGAACGCCCTGCCACCGCCGCGCCGGTCGATATCCGGCAGCGGCTCACCTCTGCGCTCGGTGACAGGCGCCGGGGGTCGACCCGCTGCCGCTACACCGCCGTGGTGAGCCGCTGTTCCGCTGCACCGCTATATTGCCCCCTAACCAGCCCTGAGCCCGCAGCCTGGGTCCAGTCTCACCCGCGTAACCATCTCATTACCTGCCACCCCTTTCCCCGTGAAACCCAGGACAGCCGCCGCGTTTCTCCCATGTCGCTTCACAGCGTCTAAAGTGGACGGCGCCCCGGGCACGGCCTCCGGTCGTATTTGGTCATCATGAGCGGCCATTATACACTGAGCGGACGAGCGTTACGACGGGCCGGTATTAGGCCGGTCGCCGCCGGCGAGGCATTATTCCAGCCCCGGCTGCTATGAATGCAGACAAGGTGCAGCAGGACGCTCTCCAGCTTGGTGGACCGAATCTGCTGCGCGGGGTCGGCGGGCGACCCGCGCGGCCCCTCCACCCGACCAGGGACCGTTACGCAAGCAGCCGGCCGGCCGCCCGATTCGGGAGGCCACCCGACAAAGGCGGTGCGCCAGCACCCAAGGCCCCGAGTCGTCACACACAGCAGGCCTGATAAAGCTGTGGCCAGGTCCGGTCCGCACGGTCGCGAGCGTTCGGTTCGAACGCAGCTGCGATAGGATGACTGCGCTGATCGCACCGGGCGGGGGCGGGGGCGGGGGCGGCACGCATCACGCGCAGCTGCGCTGACCGCCGACGTCACCGCTGTGACGAAGCATTGCCAGTTTTAGCGGCCAGACCATGAACTTGGCACCGTTCAAGGACGCGCCCGGCCAGCCCGGCAGCCTGCCTCGAGGCTAGGCGAACCTCGAACCTCTACCCGTTGCCGCCTCTGCCCGGGGGTGGAGTGCAGGGGAGGGGTCCGGGTTCGGGTAATGGCACCAGCAGGCGGCCTCGGCCCGTGCTGCGCGAGCTGGGACCGCAGCCGTGCACCCATGGAGGGCCTCCCGGTACGAACGCAGAGCGCAGGGGCGGCTCCAGGCGCCTGTCACGCCAGGACGATTCACTATACACAGAACAAAAGCACATCTGTGCCGGCATTGATTAAAGCATACACATTTCAGCACATCGATTCTACTTATCATAACAAAGCTAAAACTAGGGTGCCCTACAGTCGGGGAGTGAGGAGCGCTCCAGGACGGGACTCCCCTACCACCCGGCCTAGAGTCGCCCCTGTTGCCCGGAGGCCGTCCCCAGGCAGAGAGGAGAGCTCACCAGTCGCACCAGCATCGATCCAAAACGGTCGGCCGCTCAGCAACCGGCCGCAGGGCGAACTTTGAACTCAGCTTTGAGCGCCACGCGCGATCGGCGCAATACCGTGCACAATCGGCACGCACGGGGTGGTTTTTATGACCGTCAGCGTCGTGCTGAGCCGTGGGCGGCGCTTTGCGGCAGATGGGTCACCGCTAGCGCCGCGGGGCACGTCCGCCCAGTTAGTGGGTCAAGGCACGGTACTACGCCTCGACCATCCAGCCATCTACGCCGCACGATGAGCTGGGGCTGGCCACTTTCTAATCGGGCGGCGGTGGGCGGCGGGCCAGGAGCGGCGCGGCGCTTCTCCGGCCGGCGGCGGCGCTGCAGATCGGACAGTCACTCAGCAGCCAGCGCTGCAGCATCAGCGGGCGGTCCGGTCCTCCTCCCTAAACAATGGCCACCGGACCGTGGGCCGGGCCGTGGGCCGGGCGGGTGACGGACGGGCTGCCCATGGCGCGGGCCGAGTGGCGTGACCGGGCCCCATCCTGCACGGCCGGCCGGCAGGCCAGTGACCGCCCTGGGGTCAGGGGTTGCCGCCGCCACCGCCGCCCGCAGGTCGGACGTGCCACCCGACAATCGCTGCCGCTCCTGGGAAGGTGGCCCGACCTCAGCGCGCGCCGCCCCGACCTCGTGCAAACAATGACGGCGGTTGGCTTTATTGCAGTTGTGGGAAGCAATCAGTGGCCGGGAGGCGGTTTTACATCAGCTTTCCAACAGCTGGGGAGGGTGGTTGAAAGGTGGTTGGCTTTCATGCCTTGTCTTTAGAGCGGCGCCCCGTTACACGCTTTGTTTGGCCGAAAATTGCGATGTCACGGTACGAAGGTCAAAGTTTTTATCCATGGTTCCTTCATGACGCCCTCGAGTTGCCCAACTCAAATTCTAGCGGCTAAACGTCAACCTGCTGACAGCCCATCCAGGATTAGAGAATAAGCCTTGGGTTTGCAATTGCATATCAACATCGAACTAATCCAGCAGGATGAATTACCACCATTCAAGGACGCAATGCCATCCAGCCAGGTTGCCTGATTCGCTGCTAATTCAGCGCCATCTGAAGATATCGCCGCAAACTCCCATGGCCGTGCATTTACCTCCAACCATTTCGAAACCACCCTCATCTTCTACGTACCCACGTCCCGGTCCGTCCCACAAACGACAGAACTTTCCACGTTCCACTTACGAGCACTACGGCTCACTACAACTATAGGAAATTAGGTTGGCACGACACCACCAACAAAGGACGCCTTTCTGGTCATCCCGGTTCGTGAATGCCATCTCTGTCGCTGACAGCATTCTTACAACGGTCACGGCTCGAAACAGGGCGCCTCTGTGACATCATTCACCGTCGCCAGGTCCGCCAGCCATCCGGCGCTGCGCGCATATCCGCGCGGAACGGCACGCAGCCCGTCGAGCTGTCAGCTTTCACCGCTCTGGTCCTGGCGAGGACGGCTGCCATCCGGCGGCGAGGACGGCTGCCATCCGGCACGGTCGGCCGCAGGACCGTCCGGCGGACACTTTCGTCGTGCATGTCGTCAGTCCGCGCAATGCTGACGAAACCGACCGGCGCGCAGCACGGAACGGGGCAAGACAGGGTCACGGGCGACACGAATGGGTCACGGTGTTTGAGCACACGGCGACTGGCGCAGGGCGGACACGAGCAGGCAGGGACAGGCACACACGGGAACGAACAAGTCACGATGTAACGGGGGAGGGCGACCGCTCGCGCGGCGCCCCAGTAACAAGTCGCGGCAGGCCGTTACGCGGAAACTGGAGCCGGAGGCACATTCACGCATGGACACGTCTCTGCGTCCTGGCAACAGGGCGATAGGCACGTCCGGTGCGGGTACCTCTCCCCTCTGAGTCACCTGAGTCTCGCTATTCCTGTCCTCGGCTCCGTGACGATAGCATGCGGTTCATAGGGAAACACCGCCCTGTATCCTACCACGCCCCGGTTTCCCCGTGAGCCGATCGACCACCGCCGCTGACCCCGACAGCTCTCACGAATCCCGCCTGCGTCGCAGCGGCCCCGTCCGTGACCTTTTGCCACCGCCGCTGTGTGATCGGGGGTCAGCCCGACCGCCGGCCGTCACCGGCGCGAAGGTCTCCGGCCCCCCACCCCTGGTCCAAGGCGAGGACACGGGCCGGTCACCGGTACACGGAAGGATACGAGCCGCCGCGGACACGGTTCTGGAGCGAGGACGGGGTCAGCCCGGAGGGGACCGATAGATGGGTGTTCCGGGGGTAAGCCTACGCGCGGACCCCGTCCTTGGCAGACGCAGCCTCTGTAGGATAGATCTTGACATTGAACCGGCTTTTCCGGGAAATGCCGCATTTAGAAATGTTTTACCGTAATCGCACCTTTGTTGTGCCAAACAGCGGGCCAATTACATCCAGTTTCCGGGAACTTCGCCAAAACACTGCCATCTGTACAAAAACTAATCCAAACTAACGCCCAATTGACTTCCAAGCTGACAATGGAGTTAGAATCGAGTCAACCCACCGCGGCGGGTCACCGTCCCATAATTGTAAACCTTTCACACCTCGCCCCATCTCATCTGCCGCATCTGCACCCTGTCGGGCACGCAATCTCCACCCGTGCCGTGTCGTCAACAGAAACAAAAACCCGCTCTCGCCGGCAGAGGCGGCGGCACGGACGGGTGACCGCCGTGGGACCGCAGGCTCTGCAGCACGTGTCCGAGCACCGGCAGAGAAATCGGGAGAGGAAGCGCCGCGCTGCCGTCGCCAGCTCTCGGGCCTTTCACCGGCGGCGGCGGGGGCAGCTGGCCGGGCCTGAGGCGTTATGAGGCGGCAGGTGACGCCGGGACTCCGGCCCGTAGTCGGTGAGGCGGCACGGGCTCGGATCCAAGGACCACTCCGCAGTCAGGGCAGTGGCACGGTAGGAATCAATTATAGGTACCGGTGAAAATAAGGGAAAGCGCAGTGCTAATGACTAAGGGCGACATACTTCGCACTAATTTGGAACAGATGCAGTGAAGGATGCAATAAGAAATTACTACTTCGCACACGGTAAAATTCGGCGGACATCCCTCCCCCAGGACAGCCACCAAATGCAGCGCTCACTCACAAGTAGCAACGCACGCGTCCTAAACAGAACCATATAGGGACCCCAACACAACCCTCACCCTCCAAATTTGGGCGTCGTGCAGCAACTATACCCCCGAGAAGCACACGCCTGCATTCTAAACCGGTAACCGAATGGGCGCATCTCTGCGTCAAATTACAATCACCTCGTCCTGGTTTCAGTACCCCAGGACCCGCAGCACCGTACAGAATGAGGGCGGGGGCTTTGTTCTCACCTCGGTTGTAATCGGCAGCTGCAGTGACGGCTGGTATTTGGACTCCAGGATCAGTGCCTCCTCCAGGCGTCCCCACGTGGATTCTGTTCCCCCGCTCGCCATCCCGACCAAAGCTGAGACAATGGGACCTGCGGAGACACAGAGACAAAGTCGTGAGACACACAGACACGAACATACACGGTAGGTACATTTGCAGACAACAGAAACAGCCCTCGTCGAAATGTAAGTGCAGGCTGAGCCAATGCCCTGGCTCCATTTTAGTGTTTATAGGTAGCTATTCCAAGTCGCAGTTCTCTCTAGTTCCACCAGTGGCTATACGTCGCTGCTAAAAAGTGCGCAGCAGTGGACGCCAGAATGTTCGGAGGCCTGTTGATGTTATTGATCCATGACAGAGATTGGTCAGCCAGGAACCATTAGGTGCGCGATAACCTAGGGCCGTCGGATACTGGTGTCAACAACGCGTCCAACTGCGCAACCGCGCGATGGTGGCCGACATTCCCCGTACCTACAGAGCCGCTCGCTGAAGGAGAGCCGGTGGAAAGCCCCGCCCGCCCGCTGACGTCAATACGGACTCAGTAGCGATAAGCACTGAGGCCCATCTGACGTTATTTCCTATGGGCTATCATCAGCATAATAATTTAGGCTTTTGGAAGCCGACGGCCCATCATGTGGACCATAACTCGGGCTTTAGGGCGTACCAATCGCATGACCTATCACCCCATATTGCTGGTGGACCATCGCCGCTATCCCACACCGGTACTACCCTATAACCCGGCCCCGGTTAGCCGAGGTCTCAGCGGGGTGGCAGACGCCAGGGTGACCTCTCCGAGCCCAGAGGTCACCTCTCTGAGTCCAGAGGTCACCTCGGAGGGTTGATCGAGGGACGCTGCGCCGCCGCCCGACGGCAAGTCGGTGGCCGTTGGCGTGTGGGGTGACGCAAGCAGGCGCGGCGGCTGACCCCAACTCAACCCCCGCTGGGCGGCACAGCGCAGTGGTGCCCCGTTCAGCCCCGCACAGCTGCAACGACAACGATACAAAGAAAACCGGTCCCAGCGGCCGTGTCAATAGCACTCGGCTAACGCCTACACTGGTGAGACGATGTGACGCATTTAGGCGGCCGCCGGAGGCTGCTGTCACCTCTTGGCCTATATCACGCTGCAGAATCGGGCCGACTAGCGGACATCGGGTCACCCGACTGACATTGGCCCCTTTGGTGTCATCCGGAGGAGGGGAGGGGACTCATGGGTGTCTGCCAACCACAACTCGACCACCGCAGCCCCGCCGGCGACGGGCGTCGGTTCAAACAGCGCTGGCGGCGGGCGATGGCCCAGGGCCCGGGCGCTGACCGTTAGCAACAGCGACAAAAAAAAAAACGAACGGCGGCGTACCAAGGAACGACGCTACAGCAGCGGAGGGCAAAGAAGCAGCGATGTACCCAGACCAATATTCGGCATTACGTAATGAAGATATTGATTAGAGATTACGAGTGGACCCCTCCCCTCTCCGGACCGCTACCCCTCCCCCGGCCGATGGAGACAAAGGGATCGCCGTCTCTTTTTTTTTTTTTTTTTGAATTTTGCTCCCGACAGGCCGAGGCCCTGGTCGGGGTAGGGGGAAGTTACTAGCTGGCAATTAGCCAGATCTTCCGTTTTACTTTACTTTAATGCCGGCTATGTTATTCCGGCCCAAGGCAGTATCAAGAGCAAAGTTTACGTTAGACCGGCTCATGTGACGTCCGGTGGGAGCAAGTGCAAGGGAAAGCCAGAAAGGGTGCCAGAGTGGCAGTGCCGAGAGGGATTTTGAGTACTTACATTTCTTGCTGCTGAATCTTGATGCTGAAATGTGGTAGTGTTGTAATGTGTGCTGTTGTTGTGTTGCGAGTTCCACCAGGAAAGTCCTAACTAGAAAAACCTGGTGCCTATCTTAGAGGGCAAAACCTGTGCGCTTTTGCCAAATTGCACAGGAAAAATCCCTTTGCTTTGATATTACGTTACGTTATATCGCTAATGTGTAAGTGTGTTTGTGGGGCTATGTGTCTCGAGTGGGCCTCAACCTTTAAGAGGGATCCCTGTCGAGAACCGCGAGAGGGATGGGCAGGTGCCGATTGCCGCCGCCGCCGCCGGAGGGACGCAAACGCGCGCGCTCGCAAACATAGACGAAATCACGGCGCAACAAGAAAAATGGAAACAAAAACAATTACGATGAAATCACGAGAGAAACCAAGAGAAACCAAGAAAAACCAAGAGAAAATCATGTGTCCAAGGAGTTGGGGGAGGAGCCCACCGCCGCGTGCCAGTGGTCCCCGCGGCGGCGGCTGGTGCCCGTAAGCTCGGGGCTCCTACAAAACCCCCACCAAGTGCTGATTGGTATGATTAGAGAACTGACGTTTCAGTGCGGACTCCAGTGACGTAACAATTCATTAAACGGGTCGTTGCGGACGGCATAGTGCCGACACCTCTTTCTCCAAGCAGATGGGGGGCAGAGGAGCCCGCCGCCGCGTGCCAATGGTCCCCGCGGCGGCGGCTGGTGCCCGTAAGCTCGGGGCTCCTTAATTGACATGGCCAGTATCCAGGAAATCAAAAAGATTGAGTCCCGCGCCCAGAACCGCTATCGACGGCTGGCCGACCACGGAACTGAGCGCGAGACTGTGCTATATGGATCGGTCTAGCCTGGAATTCTTCAGGAAAGTGAAAAGCAAGTCGAGTAGATCCGGGTGAGAATCGCCGAGGAGAGTAGGAATTGAAAGTGCAAGTTGGTTGTGGGTGATATATTGGATTATAGGTTGCCTCTCTGCTTGATATTGGGGACAGTGGATCAAGAAGTGTTCAATTGTGTATCTTATGTTACAACGTTGGCAGATTGGAGGGGGGCCTTGATCAAGGATATATTCATGTGTCAATTTAGTATGTCCGATTCTAAGTCTGGCTATAATTACTTCTTTAAGCCGGGTATTTTGATAAGCAGTCGACCAGTGTCCGATAATTGGTTTGATTGGGTGAAAGTAGTAATGTGGATTTACGTCCCATTCAAACTGGACATACTTTTTGTAGGACGTGTAAATGACATTAAGATAATCTGATACCGGGCATGGGAGGGAGTTATTGGGGGGATCACGGAGGCTGGCTTTGGCCGCTTTGTCCGCGCGCTCATTCCCCACAATATTCGCGTGACCGGGTATCCAGATTATCTTAACTTCTCTGTTTTGGTCGGTGATTTGATTAATTTGTCTTTTAATGTCTCGCGTGATTGGGTGCGAATCATTATGGGCCGCTGCGATTGATTGCACTGCTGCCTTGGAATCAGTACAAATCATTAGTTGTCTATCAGGTTTGTTGATTACGTGTCGAAGCGCTGCACTGATCGCGTAGAGTTCGGCCGAAAAGATGGAGTGGTTATCGGAGAGGCGGGTGGATTGTGCGAATCCTTTTATATAGAAGGCGGCTCCGGTCTTGTTGTCCGCCCGAGAGCCGTCTGTGTATATAAAAGTATGGTCTTTATGGTCGTTTTGGAATTCGAGGAAAAGTTGTTTCATTTCATCAGTGTTCATGTCTTTTTTGTTGTCATCGAAGAGGATGAGGGTTTGGATGGGGTGCCTAGTCCAGTACGGGCTCAGTGGAGGGTTATCAAGAACCTTTGGAGTTTCTATTTTATAGTCCCTAAGTATGTTTTTAAGGTGTCTTCTTATTGTTTGGTACTTGTATTCTCTATGTGTTATTATGTTATTTTCTGGTAGGTTACTGAGTATAGCGTATGGTATTGTATCTTTTCTTGCCATTACTTTCGTGTAATACCTTATAAGCTGGTATTCTCTTCTTCTTTCCAGAGGAGGAATGTTTGAATCAACACGGAGATTCGATGAAGGCGAAGTGCGGAGTGCGCCAGAAATAATGCGAAGAGCGGAATTCTGGATACTCTCGACCTTGTTACTGAGAGTAGTGGATATATTTGTTAGTAAAAAGGCATTATAATCCAAGATGGATCGAATCAGAGATGTATATAGAAGTGTCAGTGTTTTTCTGTCGGCGCCCCAGTGTGTACCAGAGATACATTTCATGATGTTGAGGCGCCGGGTGCACCTTCCTGTGATGTCTGCTATGTGTTGTGTGAAAGTGAGTCCCCTGTCCAGTGTGATGCCTAGATATTTAAAGGTATTTGTTTGCGGAATCTCAACCCGGCCCAAACGGAGCGGGCGTGGAGGTGTGGGGTGTCTGCGTTGTTTGGAAAAGGTTAGTGAGGCTGACTTGTGGGGAGCAATTTGCATTCCCCACTTGTCACACCATTTGTTTACGTGGTTTAGTACCGTTTGAAGTTTTTGGTATGCCGCATTCACATTGTGGTGCGACGTCCAGACCGCCAAATCGTCCGCGTACATGGAATAGTGTACGTTATGTGTTACATTGTGTATATTGTCAAAGATGTCATTTATATATATAAGGAAGAGCGTCGGGGAGAGAGGACTTCCCTGAGGGACGCCGTGATCGAGGTTATGTAGGGTTGAGTAGGTGTTGCCTACTCTGACCTTGAAAGTGCGGTTATTAAGAAAATTACTTATGAAATTGGCCATTCGGCCGCGTATTCCCATGTTATGTGTTTTTATAAGTATAGCTTTGTGATGTACTTTGTCGAAGGCTGCTTTCAGATCGAGGAAGAGTGCAGCTGTAACTTTATTATGGAAAAACCCCTGTTGTATCGTGTCGATAATGTGTATCAAGTTGTCAGCTGTGGAGCGTGCTGGTCGAAATCCGTTTTGGTGTTGTGAGAGCTTGTGTTGTGATTCTAGGTACACTCTGATTCGATTGTTGACCATTCTCTCGACGATTTTAGAGGCACAGCTCGACAATGAAATTGGTCTGTAACTAGCTGGATCGGTGCTATGTTTGTCTTTTTTGAGAATGGGGATGATTATACTTTCTCTCCAGGAGTCCGGAAAGTGGCCTTCAACCCATAGCTGGTTGATGACCTTGAGAAAGTGTTCAAGGCCAAAGGGGGTTAGTTTTCTGAAGAACATGTAGGGCAGTTTGTCCGGGCCTACCGAAGTATTCCCACACTTTACGATTGCATGTTGTAGTTCATATAGGGTGAATAGGTGATTGTAATGTTCTGTGTTGTCGGATTGGAACGTGAGTGT